CTATTTTCGATTTTAAAGAAGGATTGGAGAGCTTGAAGGTTAATCCGGGATTGTCGGCGTACGCTGAGGATCTGGAAGGAGTTGCAGATTCGTTGGAAGAGCTTTTGGAGTTTGGGAGAAGGAAAGTCCCGAAAAACCAGTGGGGAGAGACTGAGATCAGGTTAATGGCGACGGCGGGGTTGAGATTGTTGGATGATGAGGTTCAGGAGAGGATTATGGAGCAGTGCAGGATGGTGCTTAGGGTGGTTTTAAGTTCCCCGACGTCTGGGCTTCCGTTATTACAGGTAACATAATGTGCTTTGCTTTGTGCGGGAAATTTTGATGTATTAAGAATGGGACATCAATAAGTAGTAAAAGGTAGTATAATTGGAAGTCGATATGTTTCATGGACAGGCCTTGAAATGCTAATTGGACTTAGGTAGTAGTATAATTGCTCTTTAAATGAGCAATGGGAAAAAGCTAGCAATTATGTCTTGAATGGAAGTGAATCAGTGGCTTGAGTATTTGATCCCTGAACTAGGATGATAGTTTTGTTTGTCCTGTTTCTCTTCTGGCTTAAGTCATGTAGCGAGGTAGTAACGATAGGTATGGATAAGGATAATTTCTTAGGAGTTAGTCTCTTTTCATGATGTCTATATTCGTATGTTATTTGTTACATATTCAGGGCTTAAATAAAATCAACTCTTGTTGTATTGACTATCGATGTTGGAAGTCTTATAGTTCTTGCTATTGTATTATAGTTTCTGGTCCCTGATCCATATTTTGAAGCTAGCTAAGTTTTGGATGCTATGACCTAGGCTCTGATGAGGGAGTATATGCTTGGGTTGTTGCAAACTATGTCCTCGGTACTCTTGGAGGTAATCCTCTACGCACTACTGGAATTATTGAACTTGGTGGGGCATCTGCTCAGGTTCGTTTTTTAATCTTTAAACTTCCTTGATTCAAGATTCTTTAGTTGAAATCTTTTCTTTAGTGTTTTGGAGACAGTTAAATTGGATTCTTAGACGCCATAATTTGCAAGTCCTCGATCTTCTAATTAGTGACATCACTAACTAGAGTTCCTTGAAGTTATTTCTTGTTTATACTTCAAACAACAAAATTATCTGCATATTCAGAATTTAAAAGATTCTAGAAGCAATACTTTTCAATTAATTGCAAATGCATTGAAGGACATATATGTCCATTGCTTAAGATCGCCATTAAATTAGTTGCTTGACTTATATTCAGGTAACCTCTTTCCCAAGTGAGACTATGCCTTCTGAATTCTCACACTCCATCAAGTTCGGGAATTTCACTTACAGTCTCTATAGCCACATCTTTCTTCACTTTGGGCAGGTAACCTTAGCATGCATTAGCTTCTTTTATTTATTTTTCCGGTTATGGTTGCTGTGCATATGTGTTCCAAATGTTGGCATCATGTTCAAGAAAAACGGCTTAGATTGAGAATACATATATTTCTGAAAGTAAATAGTACTGACTGACTATCCTTTTGCCAAGTGTTTTTCTTCATGCCTTAAAAGATAGTAGTAATAATAATAATTGCTGGCCATCTAATATCTAATTAATATTGGTATTGTTTCAATATGGTTTTGCATTTGATTTTTGCAGTATGTCATTACAGATTCTGTCAAAAAATCAAAACTTAAGTTTTTTTTGTCATTTTCCAGAATGTTGCACAGTTGTTGAGGGAATCACTTATCAAAGGAGATTTCAGTCCAGGTATGTTTCAAGACATTTTCTTTCTGTTAGAATTCACGGGCTTTGAAGTGCTTGAAGAAGTCTTGGAATTTTTTATTTGTGCTTTGAACTCAAAGTAGGAATTCTAGTCTTATTGAGTTGTGCTTAAATCATCTCTCGAGTCTTGCAATGTTAAAGTTTGAGGAAGAGATATATTTGAGTATGGACACTGTTTTTATATTACAGTTTTGAGTATTTAGGTCGGGGTTAAATGTTTAATTCTAACTGTTCTTTTGTATTCTCTTTGCTCGTTATGACTTCTCATGCTGATTGTGATAGAGGTTTGGAGTTACTAGTTATTATGTGTTTATTGTTAATTATTTATTCTCTTACCTCAATGCAGCGGCTGAATCTATTCATGAGGAAATGTATACAGATCCTTGTAAACCTAAAGGATACTTGCCCGGGTCATCAAAACTTTCGTTAGGTTCCATGGCTGAAAAAAGTAAAAATATTTCTGAATTTCAAGCTATGGGTAACTTCTCCGAGTGCAGATCTGCTGCACTAATGCTATTACAAAAAGGAAAAGGTTTGGAACTATCTTAGAACCGCCACACTGATTATGTTACCTTATGCCACAGGATAATAATCACTATATATTGTGACATGCAGAGAAATGTTCCTATGATCGCTGTTACTTGGGGTCAGTTTTCATGCCTAAGCTTCAAGGCAATTTTTTGGCTACAGAAAATTTCTTCTATACCTCAAGGGTATAATTATAATCAGTCCTTTTCTTACAGGCTTATGCTTGCTTGATCACTCTCCCTCTTTCCCATTCTCCTAATTTTTTTGCACCTTACATGGATCATTTTAGTGCACATCCTGAACCTATGTAATGTAGGCTTGGGTGCACTTAGTTTGTGTTTTGAAATTTCTTTCTTTCTATTATCCTGGTGGATTAGTTCTTTAGGTTGCGCCAAAGGGGCTCTTTCCGATCTAATCATGACTGGCCAATATTTCTGTGAAGAGGATTGGTCAAAATTGAAGAAGAACCCAATCATTCGATGAGGAAGATCTTTTGTGCTACAGTTTTTCTTCAGCATATATCGTGGCTTTACTTCACGATAGCCTTGAAATTGCTTTGGATGATGAAAGGTATCTTTCCTACTCTGCTGGTTAAGTGTCCTCAAAATAAAACGGACCATTTAAGTTCAATGATGCTTAGGGTACCGTGGCATTCCACCATACGAAAATATTAAACTGAGAGTTGGTCAATAGTTGTATTCGTTCTCTGATCTGAGATTCAATCTTGAACAGGATCAGCTTTGCTAATCAGGTCAATGATATACCATTAGATTGGGCCTTGGGAGCTTTCATATTGCAAAGCACAACCAACACAGCTGTGCATCACGCCGACTGGATAGCTCATATCATCGACACCGATTCAACACTACTTTCCGTTATCGGCTTTTCCGTGATATTGATGTTAACAGCTTGGTCTATATCGAAATGGAGGAAACCCCAGCTGAAGACCATGTATGATCTCGAGAAAGAGGAGAGGGTATTAGTTTTGATGCTTCCTTGGCTTCTGGTGCCCCACCTAAAGGGCATCATCATGGCGCAGTGGGAAATGTAAGATTGATATCCAAATTGTAACATTTTCATGGGCGGGGAAATAGGATAAAAGTATTATCGTAGATTGTACCAAAATCCTGAGCCTATACGAAAGGAACATAGATGGATGGGTTGGCGGGGGAGTTAAACTCGACTTAGGGTGAGTGATGAATACGCCAAAGTGATCATGTTTCCTTTTTAATATATATTATTCTCATTCATTTTTGTAAAATCAATTTCACAAATAGATGCTGAGCCCTTCCCCAATTAATTTAGATTTAAAATGTACCATCCCCAAGCCCTAGTGTTACTTCTAAAATGAAATTATATATATATATATATATATATATGAGTTAACGACATGTTAATATTTATTTATTGGATTTTAAAAATGGGTCTCTCTATGGTGCATACATTTAGGACAAATTTACTTGTGGTTATTAAGCTTTTACGATATTTTCATTTGATCATTAAACTTTTAGAATTTGTATCGAAGTCAGCGAACTTTAAGATCATTTCTACTTTGGCTACAACCGTTAACAACAACTGATGTGGCATTTATTAAATGTCACTTAACTTTGGCTTTTTTGTTTTAAGTCCATCATTGAATTATAAATCGATACAATTTTAGTATTAAATTTTAAATTTTGTTAAAAAGTTATCACCCATTGATTTCTTCGTGATCATTTTGTACATCGATGAATTCGTTTTATAATTATTTTTCTAGAATTTTTTTAATTTGTGGGCTTTCTTGTACTTGAGGGGTTGAAGATGTTTGTTCAAAAATAGAATGATGAGAAGTATTATTTCGAGAAGATTTATAGCATGCCTCAAAGTTAACCACATCAGATGATTTTCAGAGGAGAAAGAGCTCACAAAATCTTCAAATTAAATTTTAATATTCTTGAGTGAGTTTCATGAAAAATCAATTTGAAGAGAAAAAAAATAGAATAAAATGCAAACACTATAGTATTAATTTTGTTATGAATGATGATCGAAGAAGGGTGATAATTGATTATCAATAATGACATAATAGTTCAGTGTCTAAAATTATATCATTTTTAAGTAATGGTAAAATCAATACACAAATTAAAGAATTTATATGGCCTTAGAGAACACCGTTTAAACATTAACATATTCACTTGAGATGACCAATAGAGATTGGTTCAAGTAGTAAGCAGTTTGATATTGCTTAAGCAAAGTTTTGAGTTCGAATAATTGTGTATACAAAAAATTCTTGTTGGGAAATTCACCCACCAAAACCAAGTGCGACGGGTCGGTCATGATTAGTCAAAACAAAAGTCTTGAAACTGAGAGGGAAACAAAAATAAATTCACTTAGATGAAATCATTTTAGTCAAATCATCAAATTAATTGAAATTATTGTTGGTATCTATGCTTAATTTATTAGGCAACGATTCAATAGTATAATTGTATTCAAAATTAAAATTTAAGGTTAAAATCATAATAATTTAGTGTTAAGTGATAAATCCTATATAAAATTGAAAATTAAATTATATCTATTTGAGGTGTAGTTTACCCTACATTTTGACACTAAAAGTTAAAGCGTGTGAATTTCAAATCACCATGGGAGCCGTTTTCGACAGACGTCAGCACATGCCTCATTGTCGTCGTCGAATATCTCACAAAACTCTTCCTTTTTAAAAGAATCCAACAAAATCTGCTATCATCGAAAGAATTCAAGCAAAAACGCGTTTGTAGTGAAAAAGAAGAAGCTAAATAGCAATTGTGCGTCGTATTTTTGGTGGTTTATTTAGCAAGCAGAAATTCCCCCAGCTTTTTGGCTAAACAGGTAAAAAAAATTCTTATGGTTTGAGTCAATTTTTCGTTGCTCTCTTAGTCTCTTATCAGATTCCTTTATTTATTTGTTTTTCATTCTCTCATTTGTTCGGAAACCTCCGATCCGTCGCTCTTGCTCAGTGCGATCCCGGGTCTTTTTTTTTAAGTTATGCTTTCGCTATCATGTTGATGGTTTTTTTTTGGTTGAGTCGTTGAATTAACTGAAAGAAATTGAAACTATATATCTATATTTGTTAAATTTGTAGAAATTATGAGTGATCACCTGGTGTTGTATGTGGATCGTCTGGCGAGGCCGGTGCACGTGCATCCAGTTGGATTGGAGGCTGGTCCCTCGACTGAGATTTCAGCGGAGGAGAAGGAGAAGAAAGATAAGCAGTTTGTCCAAGAAGGCAACGAGGAGGAGGACCCGCTTATTCAGGAGGCGGAGTGCCGCATTTGTCAGGAGGAAGATTCCATTAACAATCTTGAGACTCCTTGTGCCTGCAATGGCAGCCTCAAGGTAATTCATTTCTTTTATTTGTTGTTGAATTGATCAAGATTCTTTTTAAGGAATAAAAACTGCGTTTCAGCGATTTGGCTTTCACTTAAATTGACCTCATAAAAAATGTTAATTTCTCAATCAGTGCTACTTGTTTTGGTATATTTAATGATATATGAAATATTCCTATGGTAGAAATTGTTGAGTTTAATGTGTTCTGAATTGCAGTATGCTCATAGGAATTGCGTGCAGCATTGGTGCAACGAAAAAGGAGATATAACTTGCGAGATATGTCATCAGGTATCTACTTCTGTTAATCCTTCAAAAAGGAGATATACTTGCTACTGGATAACATTTTATGTTGTTAAAATATTTTGAACTCAACGTTTAGGCCTTTAGTTTCTTCAAAGAATTCAAAGTTCAGGATTTTGAGCAAGTTGTGGTGAATAATTCTCTAAGAAGGTGAATAATTTGCTTTTACGAAGAGCTCAGTGGAGTGAAAAAAAAGGAAAGGAAATGAATTTTGGAGTGTGTTTAGTAGTAAAGATTATTATTTTCCTCCTAATGCATAAATGAATCATTCCGAATTTGAATGATAGAGGGGGTGAAATGTAAGAGATGTTAGGCATGCGTACTTACAAGATTATCTCTTTTTTAAAATTTTCCCTTTTAACTTGATTTACCAATAGTATAATAGATATTTGGTTGTTTTGGCTCCTTGTTGACATAGTCCGTCTTTAATTTACTCTGCAGCCATATCAACCTGATTACACTGCTCCACCTCGCCCCCGAACGGAAGAAACAACTATTGATATTGAGTAAGTTTTCTATTGTCTCTTGTATCAGTTTCTTAGGAAATGATGCTAAGTGGACTTTTTGTATTGGTAAAATCGAGTATACGCCGTATAATTTACAAAGCATGATGTCCACTAGAAACTTTGATCTAAACTTGCTAGAAAGCAATTGTATGACCTGTTCGGGAGATTCCATCATAATGATTACATATCTATCTTGTAGTGGAGGCTGGACAATCTCTGGCACCCCTGTGCATTTGCGTGATCCTCGCATTTTGGCCATTGCCGAGGCAGAGCGACAATTTTTGGAAACTGGATATGATGAATATGCTGCATCAAGTGCCACTGGAGCTGCATTTTGCCGTTCAGCTGCTGTAATTGTAAGCATTTAGCTATGAATAAATCCTCTGGACTTGTTGAATTTCATACAAGACATGTTTAGCAAGGACTGCAAAACACCTCATTTAAGCGAACTTAACATTTTGCCTTGAAGTTGGAGAATCATCAATTCAATTTATAAATACATATAGCCATGTTCAAGGAATTGTTTTGATAAATTAATATGGAGAAAAGAGCTCGGCTAAGGTGTATGAGCTTTTTAACTGGAAGATCTTTACGTTCTTAGGAAATAGGAAAGTATTTCTCTTTTTTTTTAAGATGGATGATTTCCCCCATTGTTCCAGTTAATGGCACTTCTGCTGTTGCGACATGCAGTAACTGTTCCAGATGCCGATTCAGATGATGATGTATCTTCATTTTTCTCTGTAAGTTTTTACTTTTTACTTGTATAGTTGCATTCCTGTATTTTCACCTATGCGCTTCTTAAACATTATGCATTACAATTACCATACCATGGAGCCATGGTTCTTAAAACTGTTTGGTTTCTTGCAGTTTTTCTTACTCCGAGCCACTGCGTTTCTCTTGCCGTGCTACATCATGGCTTGGGCCATCAGTATATTACAACAACGAAGGCAAAGACAGGTTATTATTATTTCATTACTTGACAAAGACTTCCCCTTTTTCATTTTACCGATCCTTCTTGCTTTTCTCCGGACCTCGTTATCAAAACGTGTACATTATCTGTATCAGGAAGCAACTGCCACCCAGGTTGCTTTTGTAGTACAATCTGGGCAAAGTAGGGGCATGCATTTTGCGATAGCATCCGGACCTGCGGTGACTCCCCACCAGGAAAACGTTTAACTTATAGGAGGCACGATGAAGTCCTGCACTGACTCCCAGATAGATTGTTATTATGTGTATTCCCTTAGTCCTTCAGATTGAGCCACGAACGTGAGTTGGAGTGGAATTTGCATCTGCTGGTGTGCTGATGTGCTGATGTGCAGTAGTGGTAATTACGTACCTAAGTCTGAAACCCGAAACCTATTCGGATAAATCCAAATCTGATCTTGATCTTCATTTTACCCTATGGCAGGCTCTCAAGATATTCAATATTTTGTTCCCTTTTTATCTTTTAGGAAATCTTATCTTCTTGAGTAATATTTGATAGAAGCACATAAATTCAATTAGGTGAATGCTGATGATCCACCCCTAACTCCCAAAATAAAAGGACTTTGTAAATTGTGATAATATATGGGTAAAGTATATTAGATATCATTAAATTTGTTAAAATGATTTTTTTTAATCAACGAATTTTTTTAAAGTTATAGAATAGTTATTAAATTTTTAAACAATGGTAAGGTAATCATAAAAACTTATTGATCTATTATAAAATGATCATTAAAATTATTAAACTATCATAAAATTATCTCAAATTTATCAAAACTTATTGTTCTTTTTATAATTTACAAAGATGATTGGATAAATGTAATAATCATTTTATAGTATTTAGAGTTTTATTGACTAAAAAAATTATTTAGTATAATTCAATAATCTCTAACATATGTTAAATATAATAAAAAGCAGGGGTCTTTTTGTGGGTCCAAATCATTTAAAGTATTAGTGGCAGTGGACCATGGAATCTGGTTCTATAGATTAAAAAAGAGAGGGGAAGATCGATACAACACGAGGTGTTTCAGCAGGGAAATTAAAGGCAGGGAAATTAAGGGCCACTTCTAGTCCTACTAGCTGTCACAGGCATTGAATTTGGGCACTTTGAGTCCTTAAAACCAACCCCCTCAATTAGGACATGGTAACAAATGCCCCATTATCAGGACAATAATCCTCTTGTTGGTTGTTCTGATAAACACCAGTTGCAGGGTCTGTTTCACGGAGAAAAAAAATAGCAATAATTTACGGCTGCTTTATTCTTACTCATCTGTAACGATTTAATCTGATAAAAAAAAACGAATTCAATTCCATTTGTAGTCAATGAGTTAGCCAAGTTTAAACATGTTATAAGTCTAATTGAACTATTTATAAATTTTACTTTGATTATCAAAATTGTGTAAAAAAATTAATTAAAAGATATTTATTGAGTAATTTAATCTAAAGTAATATTTTTTTCCAACTAAAGAAGATAAAATTGTTTGAACACAATGAATTCTGATTCGATTTAATTTTATAGATTATTTTTCGAGTGTAGAATAAAGTGATAAGAGATCGATCAACCTTATCGATACGCATCCCTAACTGTAGAAACCAACGAAAACCAAAGCCGGAATGGTAGTCTTTGTTTCAACAGTATACTAGTGCGCGTGCTTATTTGATGAATTATGACATGATTGTGATTAAGACAATGTTTTCATAGCTTAATCCTAGAGTCTTTGAACATTGTATTCTTTTATAGCCTGATTTAGAGCTCGTGTCTTGTCATTTTTCGTGTCCTGGAAGTGATCAAGACTCATCCTCCTCTCTAAAGCCATTAATGTGATTATACCAAGTTGTATCAATAAGAGATTTGATTTTTGATGCCTCTCTACTCCACTAATCTGATCGTGGCTATTAGATTTGTTTCTTAGATTCTAAAAAAAAAAAGCATGATTGAAGAACGGGAATTGGGGTGAGTTTGCAAAACATAAAAGACAAAACCAGACCATATTTTCATTAGGAAAGGAGCCGACCAAACCATCCTAGATCTCTTGCCGATTTTTTAACTCTATTGTCCTCATCTTTAATCTATGTGCTACTCTAGTCTTTGGTTCATGAATTTATTGTATTCTACTCTATTTATGAACTGGTAATTACAGGTTCAACTAGTATAAGTCTCTTAAAACAACAAACTGAAAAAAAAAATTAAGAGACGTTATCTTAAAATTCATTAACGTAATTTTAATGTGATCTTAGAAACATTATTTCACTGATCAGCTTGATTTTATTCTTGGAGAATAAAAGCAACAAACTGGGAAAAAATATTAAGAAAACCAAAGAGCACCGCCTATTACAGGGAAAAAGATAAAAAAAAAATATTACACGACACATGCAAGTTCCGTCGATCACTAATTTCTCGCTAGAAAAACACGAAAGATTTGGAATAGGTTTATTATTGGAAAAGAAAATTTATTATAATAAACAAAACATGGGGTGTCTTGCATTTGCTTTTCGATTAACACGTGGACGCAGAGGAGATTGATTTGTCATTGGAGGTGGCCCCTACCCTTGATCCTTTTTAACTTTTTTTAAAATTATAACATAAATATAAGGTTTAATATTTAAGATAGAATCTTTATTCTTCCCATCGGAGTGGTGGTGTTTGTAGCTTGTTCATAAAACAGGATGATTAAGTTACTGAAAGATTAAGTGGGTGAGAGTGCAACAACTTGTCATTGTAACAATCCATCATCAAAATCAGATCAACCCTTCTCTTCCTACATTCACCACTTTTAGTTTTAGACCAAGAAAAAAGAAATTCTCTTGAGCTTTTTAGCAAAACCCTAACCCCACTGAAAATGTCCACCCTTTAACCCCCCATCAAGATTTCACCTTTATTTTTTTTTTTGAGAAATGGAGGTAATCAACAACACTAAAGTCACCCCGTACGCGCAATCCGAGTCTTCATCAGAGACACGCCCCGACAACAACGACAAGGCTTTATCGCTCCTCGCCCATCAGCAGCCGATGGTGGTTTCCTACAAAGAGTGCCTCAAAAACCATGCTGCTAGCTTGGGTGGACATGCCCTTGATGGTTGTGGCGAGTTCCTGCCAACCCAAACAGACCCTGCCTCCTTCAAATGTGCAGCCTGTGGTTGCCACCGTAACTTCCACCGCCGTGACCCTTACGACGGTCCCGCTTTCCTCCCCCACCTGCCACCGCCACCGCTGGCGCCTAACCCTCCTAGATCAGGTCCAAGCCCAACGAACAGTCCACCCTCACCTGTCCCTTACTCTTACTACACTTCTGCACCCCACATGCTGCTGGCCTTGAGCACCGGCTACTCAGGGCAGCCCTTGGATGAGTATCACCATCAGAGGGCTGAAGTCACTGACAAAAACAACCGCACCAACACCACACGAAAGAGGGCAAGGACAAAGTTCAGCAAAGAACAGAAAGAAAAGATGCATGGTTTTGCAGAGAGGGTTGGTTGGAGGATGCCAAGAGGAGAGGAAAGGCTGGTAAAAGAGTTCTGCAATGAAGTGGGAGTGGACAGAGAGGTTCTCAAGGTCTGGATGCACAACAACAAGAACACTTTCGGTAAGAAAGGCATGTTAGCTGTCGGTAACCTCAATCTTGATTGCAACAACAACAGTACTACTAGTGGAGACAACAACGGAAATGCCAATGTTGGAAATAGTAATTTTGATTCCAATAATGTCAACCACAACAACGATGAGTTGTGTATTCAGCTTCATGTTACTAACAATGGCTCTTCTTCTGCATCTTAATTTAACCGAATAAATTGATAGAATTCAACAAGCTTTTTAGTTGGCCTTCATTTCTTCTTCTTCTTCTTCTTCTTCTTCTTCTTCTTCTTCTGCATCTTATCCCTCGATCTGATATTAATGGAAGAGGATATGACCTGTGAGGATAACAATTGAAGGGAGTTTACTTCTGTCATTGTTCTTCAGACATATTATAACATGATTCTTTGTTTGTATCTTAGAGGTGATCAGGTGATAGTTTCCTTTAGTTTTATATAATCTGTCTTAATTTGTCCAAAAGCTGCTGGTTTTGTTCAGATTAGTAGGTGATGTCCTGAATATGCAAACAGTAATCTCTGCTTTTGAGTTTGGTATACCTTGAATGACTTAAACCCCAATCCTTCATTGTTTTTATTGTTTTAGTTCGTCGTTTTCCATGATTTTATTTACTAATTTGATGGATGATATAGATTTGAACATTTCTATTCATGTCTGGAATCCATTACTTAATCTACCTCCCTGAAGGCGAGGAGTGTTTGATTAGTTAAGGTAATATAAAATAATACTTCGATCCTTTTGCCTAATGATGATAAGCAACAAAACGAAGTTGCTTATTTGGTCACAGATAATTCTGTATTAAAAATAGTACTTCTCCTCCACCCGATTTTCTTACATTTCTTTTTCTCTTTTTCAACGTTGTCTTGGAGGGCATGTCGGCCTTAAATTTCCATCAAATATGGACCAACCTACAACTGCTCTCCCTTAGTGCCAACCGGAGAATCCAATCGCTACTTCAAGCAAGCGTCGGCTCTTGGTACTAAATACCATGTGTACACATACTGATTAGCTTTTACTTGTCCTAATAAAATAAAAGATTTTTCTCTTTCGATTTTATTATATAAGATTTATTATGAAAAAATCTTTTTAATTCATTTTGATATATTTAGAATATCATATCTTACTTACAAATTTAATACTTTATTTCACTAAATTTATTGGTTGTCAATATGATATTAAAAACCTTATAGAGAGGTTTTTTTTTTGGAATGTTATATAGAATGGTATTCAAGGTTCTAAAATGGGTGATTATGCATTAAACAAATTTAGTTTTTTTGTTAAGAGTTTTTTTTTTTTTTGCTCTTTCAGTTTCAAGGCTTCACTCTGATTAATCCGGATCGACTCGTCTCGTACACCTGACTTTGGTGGACGAGTTTCTCAACGAGATTTTTTGTATACACAAAAAATTGAACTCAAAATCTTACTTAAACAATATCAAACAAATAAACCATCAAAGGATGAAGAGAGAGGAATTGGGACAGTGGTGTGAGAATAGGCCCAACATTCATTAAATGTTTTCAAATCTGGTTAGCCCTAAATTAAGCAGAAAAAGGCATTGTTTAGGCCCAACATATTCATTTTTACCTACTCTATTCTATAGTTCCCTGCATTTGCAAAACATCTTACATGTCTAGTTTACATTAGGGGAGGCCCAACACTTGTGAGTATGGTTTTGGAGAATCCCATTATATGTTTCGATAATTTTTTTCTTTATACTCATTCCTTAAGGAACCATGCGGGTTTCGGTTAATCTTCATCTCCAACAATTAAACAAACACTTTTGAAATCCATACATAACCTAAAACTTATAAAATATATCAGATTGTGTCAA